TGGCAGCACAGCTTTGGATGGCAAGTTGTGAAGAGTCTTTTTACCCTCGTTGGCGCATGCGCGAAATACGCGGATGTAAACAATTCAACATGCACCGTGTCTATAAAACTCATGGCCATCTAAAATCCGCCGGCATTTATGCTAAATTAGTATCATAATTCCTGAAAAGTGAGTAAAAACCGCTCTAAAACTTGATGTTTCTTTACATATTTTGTCTGATGTTTTACAAAGCCATAAGTTGACGCTCTCTGACCTGGAGGACGTCTTTTCGCCTGACAACACTGCCCTCTGGTGGCGCAGTTTGCGCCCTGCATCTGTGACTCAGGCTGCGAGGCGCCTCAAAGTGTGGCTGCCGCAGCAGTAAGTTGGCCGTCAGGATTTCCCTCCAACAAAGCGTGACTTGTGTCGGACAGCCAGCCCAGCGGGACGGCACCTTTCCGAGGCTCGGACCGCGTCACATGGCGCATGGATGGATAGCGGGAAAAGGCTGATCACAGTGGAAACATCCGCGTTTACCAGGCATCTGTTAGTCAGAGTGAGACCACACTTCCACCTGACTCTGGGGGTTTTCATCTCAGGATGCCTCACAAGAGCAAAAAAGAAAAGGTAGCAATTTAGCTTGTGTGTTTTAAATTGTTTTGTTACTATTCAGTTTTTCTTTTCTTTTTTTTTTGTGAAGGAATCCTCCAAATCTGGAAGACCAAAAAAAGCTGGAAGCAAAAATGGACCTACAGGGGAACAAGAGGTAAAACTTTTAAAGTTTATTTCATTTTTAAACAACGGCTGAGCACTGGAGGGTTTCTTCCTGTACTTTCAAAGATATTTTAAGTATATTTGAGTTTTCAGGGNTTTTTTTTGTTTGTTTGTTTTTGTATGGATGCAACTCTGGAATTTATTATATTTAATGATAGTTAAAATGTTAAATTACAGATAAAATAGTATTTTTAGTAAATGTAATCTATTAGAGTTAATTATGTGCTTAACCTACATTTTCATGTATTCTGTCTTCCATATTGTTTTTTTAGTTTAATTTCTGAAAATTGTTTTAGTAAAGTAATGAAGTGATGTGACCGCTGTAAAAAATAAACGGGGATCCTGACTAAACTAATCTTTTGTTTTAAGTCATCATAAAAACATCAACAATTATAAAACAAACAATAAACATAACAGTTTATTTATCTGTCAGCTTATGATTTTTGATTGATCAAAATCACCAATCAAATATTTTGATCAATGTTCCACTTAATATTAATCAAAATTAGGATTTCCAGTCTTCATTTAAAGGAAGTCTGTTTTTCAGCAGTCTTGCAGTTTTCTGAACATTTCTTCCAGATTTGTGGTGCATTCTGGGGATTTTAAATGTGCAGGCACTGCAGCGTAATCGAACCTCGGCTCTGTTTACGTTACTACAGATCAGAGCGTTTGTTGTTTCAAGACTTTATTGGCTTTTTGTTTCAGTGTAAACCAGGAAAAGTTGCTCATATGACATGTGGCATGATCTTGTGACTGTTTTCTTTAAAAGTACTTTTATTCTGCCGGAACAATACTGGGCATTGTAGCAGTTATTTTAGTCCAAAGTTATTTCTGCAGAGCCTGTTGGTTGAATGTAGCAAATGGACAAAAGCCTCAGGCCTGTGTTCTTTCTGTATCTATTTTTCACAAATATTCGGCCATCTCGTTCTAAAAATTTTAATAGTTTTTAAAATTAGCCCTAAAAGGTTTTCTCCAGTCAGATGCAGGTTCATCTCAGTAACTTGGTGCATCTATTTAAGCAATTCAAGTCTCACAAAAGTATTTTAAGGGTCTTTTTTGTTAAACCAAAGCTGTTTAGAGTTGCATTTGGTTAGTAGTAATTGGAGCGTTGATTAACATATTTGTGTATTTGCTTGATGATTCTGAATGTTATTTGATAAAAATTTAAAGTTTGCTTTGAAAATTCCTGAACAAATAAATTTGACTTAATTTTGAAAATGAAACTCAAAACTAAAGTTTCCCAAAAACATAAGTTACTTTATCACACAAACACGAGGAAGACTTTGACTTTTATAGTTGTCCAGCTTCACCTGGAGGCTGTTTGCAGAGGAATGTATTCATGCATCTTAATGGAAAGTTGAGTGGAAGGAAAAGCTGTGCTAGCAACAAGGATGACTAAAGACTTTTGAAGATCGTGAAGTTTCCAGGTCTTATTTGGGGAGTCATGTCATCTTCTGGTGTTGGTCTCCAGTGTTTTATCAAGCCTAAAGTTGGAGCAAATGTCAAGACAAGAAACAGAGCAGTTAATGCTTCCCTGATGATGAGCTTTATGGAGATTCTGATTTGGACTTGGTACCAATCCTCACTGCCAAAAATACTAGTGCCTCCTTTAATGAACATCGTTTTACTGTGCTTTGTCAGCAAATTAGCTGGACCACATAATCAAATTCCTATTAATTTATTGTTACTTACCTTTTTATTTTTTCCTGAATTGCAATTTGTCAAATTCACTGGGAAAAACACAAAATCTTAACAAATGTTTTTGGTCTAGTTTCCAGTGCAAATATCTCAGTACATTCGAAATAAGACGAAACTAACTTACAAATAACTTTTCATCAAGATGTAGGAGCTGGTTTTACATCAACAATTCTTTAATATTGAAGAAAAAGTTCTAGTTATGAATCGAATAATCTGCCAGTGGAACAAGATTATAATATGGGAAACTGGCAGATTATTTCACTAACAACTGGTATTTTTTCATCAATATTAATAAAGTATTAACTTTTATGTTGCTGGAAAGTTACTTGTAAGTTGTAACTACTTGTATTTCAAGTGTAATAAGATATTTTTTCAGTACAGCAATGCCTAAAATCTATCACTATTTGTGGAATAAATGATAAATAATTACCACTTCCACTGGCAGATTATTTCACTGATGGCAAAACATTTTTCCAATTTTATAAATGAAATAATCTGCCAGTGGAACTAGTAATTTTACTCTCTATGAAGGAATTATTGACTTAAGCTCCTATGCCAAGCTGAAAAGTTACTTTTAAGTTAGTTTTGTCTAATTTCAAGTGTACTAAGAGTTTTGCACTATAACTGGACCAAATGGATTTGGTAGGATTTTGTGTTTTTGCAGTGAGACGGTGTAGCTGCGTTCTTTCGGGTCGTAAATTCAGATTAAATTTGCTCCGATTGTTCCAGTGACAGCTTTATCAGCTCAATCTGAGATCATTTATTTTGTCTGCCGCGTCCCATCAGCAGAACACCGGGCCGCTGCGATCATGTTTCCTGACTGAGAGCCACTCGATCTGATTCGGAAACGAAAGGAACCTGACCTCTTTACGGCGGAGCCTTCAGCCGCTTTTCTGTCTTCACTTGATTAGAGTGGCTGCTGTCCCTCTTCCTGTGGAGCTGGACCCGACCCACTTGACCTCACTCCGCCGCTTCTTCCACAGGGTTCAGGTAAAAAGGCGCCCCCTTCAGCTCAGCTGTTGAGGGTGAAGCAGCCCGGGTCCCACTCAGCGGTGAAGAGAGAGAAGAGGTTCAGCACCTCCTCATTCCCCCTCAGCGCTAACAGAGAGCTGCAGAAACTCCCAGCTCTCGCAGGTATGTTGAGTCTAGTTTGAAGTTTTAAAATGTTTGAAGGTTTTATATGTCTAATTTTAACCAGTTTGCAAAAATAACAGCCGAGGAATACAACTTGAAGATTGCATTTATGTAGATAAAATTCAGAGTCATATTGAAGATGTTCTTATGCTTCCTTGAACAGGTTAGGATGGATCTATGGTCTACACAAAACTTGTTCATCACATTTTTTGCACCAAATCATTCTTAGATAATGAAATTTTAGTCTGAATAAAATGTTTTGGGGCATCTTGTCACTTTAAATTCAAAGACCCTGCTGCTGGCCACGCCCCCCAACTCAACATTTACACTCGCACGTGAAAACGGCTGCAAACAGAGGCGCAGTTACACAACCGTGCATCTTTGAAAAGCAGAAGTGGAGCCTTCTGCACAACCAACAAAAATGCAGCAAGTGGTTTCTGGATGACAAATCAACAACAAAACACTTGTCTTTTCCAGCAGCCATTGTATACAGCACATTGAGCTCAGCTTGGGTTGCTAGGCAACGGAGCAGTACCTGCTGATTTGTGACGTTACATTCTAGAGGTTTTTGAAATGGCGAAGCTCCTGCATGTTTGGTCAGCTGACTTTTTCACTGTATGTGATGTACAATGGCTGCTGGAAAAGACAAATGCTTTGCTGTTGACTTGCTGCATTCTTGTTGGTTGTGTAGGAAGCTCTACTTCTGCTTTTCAAAGGTCTATGGTCACATCTGTTTGCAGTCATTTTCACGTGAGAGTGTAAAAGTTGAGTTCAGGTTGTGGCCAGTAGCAGCTTATTAGGATTTAAAGTGACAAGACGCTCTAAAACATCTCAAGACTCAAATCTAATTATCTAAGAATAATTATGTGCAAAAAAAATAAATGAACATGTTTTGTTTCGCCCGTCGACCTGTCCTAACCTGTTAAGGGAAGCATAATAGATCACTTTGAATTTTTTGGGAGGTTTTTAGAAGAAGCTGAGGCCCAAATGAAAGTAGAAAAAACATGCAAAAAGTGAATTTTATTATTTAATAATAGGTCCCCTTTCAGAATTCATAAATTGGTGGATCTTCATTCCCACCTTTCAAACCTCGAGATCCTTGCTTGCTACATTATTGATAGCTATGCGGCCGCCCATCCGCCTGCTCTCTAATGCAGCTGATGTACAATCAGCTGCATCTCCCGCCTTACCTGACAGTAACGTTTATTACTCCCTGTACGAAAGACCGACTCGATCAATCAACCGGAAACCCAGAGATGGTGAGAAATCTTGGCCATCCAGCCGTAATCTAGAACAACATGTGCATAAACTCATGTTATAATGATTGCAATGTGAGTTTTCTGTCAGCTGACCACACCGATTGACTTAATCATTACGTGTTCTGCTAATGGTGATACGAAGAAGAGGTCTGAAGATTTGCATCAATCTTTTATGACTTCTTTGTTTCCACTCAGCATTACAAACAGGATCTGGCCTAAGTATTTTCCTGTAACTGATACACAGCAGCACTCTATTCAGATACCTGGATGAGCTGCGTCCCCCATACAGGTGTTCAGGACAAACGGCTTGTGGGGCCTAAGGAAGCATCGTGATACTCAATACAGCCCTTCCACTTTGGCTCAGTGGCTAACATTACTGCGACTTCTAATGTTTAATACTTCAACAGGTATTAAACTTGTTTATCTTTTCATCTTTTAAAATCTGGAGGTTTTAACTATTTGAGGCGGTGAGTGAAGACCGGTCTACAGTCCCCAGGTTCTCCAAAACATTTATAAACATTTTTGTTTATAACATTTATTTAGTCATTTACAACATCCATTAGGTGTCCAAAAGGTACTTTACAGCAAAATTAAAACAAAAGTAAAAATACAGAAATGCAATTATTTGTTAATCCCTGCAAATAGTTAAAATACACAAGTACTTAAAGGGGCAGTATGATGTGTTTTCCATCTTGTTTTAAGTCAATAATTCTTGAACATTGATTAAAAAAGCAATAGCTCTACTGGCAGATTATTTCACTTACACCATGGGAAAATGTCTTGATATAAGTAAAATAATCTGTCAGTGGAACAAATAAATTTTCATTCATAATAAGGGATTATTTATTTGAAACAACCTGCTATATCTTGTTGAAAAGTAACTTGTAAGTTAGTTTTATCTTATTTCAAGTGTATTAACATATTTATGCTAATAATACTTGGTAATATTTTGTATTTTTGCTGTGTGGTTTCTGAATAGTAAGTCAACAACAAAACAAATGTCTCTTCCAACACAATGGAAAAAAACAAACAAAAAAAACAGCTGAACAAACGTACTGGAACTCCACTTGGGTTGCTAGAAAATGGGCTGGAACTCTGCTTAGGTTGCTAGGTAACAGGTTGGGGTGGCTGGGGTTGCTAGGTAACAGCACAGAACTCATGGATTGTGACTCAGCACGTTATTAGTGAAATAATCTCCCAGTGAATCCGATACTTTTTAATTAACATTAAGAAATTATTGACTTAAAACAAGCTCCCATGTCTGAAAAGTTACTTTTAATTTAGTTTTGTCTTTTTTCAAGTGTTCTAAGATATTTGCAATAGATTTGTGTTATCTTGACTTTATTCATTGGCCTCGTCAACTCCACTGCTGGTTTTCAGAGTGATTCATCCTGTTTTCTCACCTGTTGAAAAGCAACCTAAAATATCGCAATAATCACAAAATAATTGATCTTTAACACCCCAACTATTGATCAGTCTTCACCAGTTACTTTAAATATGCAGCTCACTACAAATCAAAACAAACCACTGGTCCATCTGCCTATCAGACGTTTATATTGCCTGACAGTTTTTACACAAACATAAACAGACTAAATAGCAGAAATTTCTTGAGTCCTTTATTGCAACATGTTTGCTTTCTTAGCCACTCATATATCCAGAAATATGATTTAGTTGTGATGCAATAACTATTTAGCTCATCCATGTAGAGAAATTAAAAAAAAATGTTGAATTTGTTTTATTTTGTCCAAGATATTCTGCATCACATTTCTATTAATATCACATCTGTCAGTAGAACTGGAGGAGAAACGAGTCGTTCTGTTAGTTCCAGTTTGCTGGAGGCCCATGAACCGAATCCTGTCAGCAGAGCAGCCATGCAAATTTGATGAACAGGATTAAACAGTACGCTCTGCCAGGTGTCAGTAAATCATTCAGTGATGGGGTTAGTTTCCATGAACCTCTGGCTGACATGGTTTACCTGTACTGCCACCTGCTGGGTGAAACACAGTGTCTGATTCTGACCAATTCTACTTTTTAAAACCAGTTACCTTTTTCTTTTTAATGTTATGACATTTTTTTTTAAATTGCACTTATTGCGCTTTGTTCATAATTCTCACTCATTTATCATCTCTTATGTTTTCAGGGATATTTGTTGACGTAGTTCCAAGGCAATAAACCCGTTGAACCTTTTAGGTTTTAGCTAAATGTTTTGGAGAAAAGTAGAACTGAAAATCACCACAGTGTATATGCCACAGGTTTTAGATTTCCTTTTATAGAGAAATGTGAAGAATATGCATAGTTTTCCTTCCAGTTCACCATTATGTACTGCTTTCTTTTGGTCTTTAAAATAACCCCTTCCTGAAATGTAAAATTACAATAAAAGCTGCAATATGACAAAATGTGAAAAAAAGAAATGGGATTACTTTTGCAAATCACTGTTTGCCACAACTGTGTCAAACTTTGGTAGTTTAGAAAAATTGTCATTATTAAAGGTAGACCTTTCATGCACAATTAACATTTCCCAGGTTTTTTATACTTCCACTTCAGTCTCAACTGGTTTTAAAAACATCTAAGAAAAACAGCTTAAAAAATCCACCCAGCTGTTTTTGGGAAATAAGTTAATATTTTTTGGTGTCTGGAAATTGAGCCCTTTCAAATCCACCTGATCAAGAGTCTGTTTTGGTTACTTTTGCTCACCTTTTTACTTTTTATTTTTCTTAATTTAACTTTTTGTTTTAGTGTAACCAAGAAGCTCCCTTTCTAACATGTTGGTGGAGAGTCTTGATCCTTTTCTTTGCTGTGAAAACACCTATACCACAATGATTTTTGTGTTTTTTAGGAATTGTATATAATTTATTGTTATTTATATTTGCTAATATTTAACAATTCAGATGAAGAACCATGTCAACAAATATTCAATTTCCCCTTGGGGATTTATGAAGTTTATTCTGATTTTGATTCTGATACTTAAGTCACAGTTGGCAGGCATTGCTCAGCCCATCACCTAGCAACCACAGCGGAACCCAGCCCATTACCTAGCAACCACAGCGGAACCCAGCCCATTACCTAGCAACCATAACGGAACCCAGCGGAACCCAGCCCATTACCTAGCAACCACAGCGGAACCCAGCCCATTACCTAGCAACCACAGCGGAACCCAGCCCATTACCTAGCAACCATAACGGAACCCAGCCTGTCACCTAGCAACCAAGAGAAGCTCCAGCACGTTTGGTCAAATAGTTTTACTGCCGTATGACCTGTACAGAACTGAGCAGACTAAATTATCAATATTTAGAATTATTTTGTGCAAAAAATGTAATGAACATGTTTTATATAGGCCTATCTTAACCTGTTGAAGGAAGCATAAAAGGTCACTTTTGGTTGGTATGCTAATGATTTGTTACAGATTAAACACTAAAAAAAGCAAAAATCCATTTTTCTTTGCTCTGCACTCCTTTAGTCAGCCTATACCGCTATTGTAAGATGTAAATGGCACATTGCCATGTGATGGCCATGATGATGTGCCATCACATTGTCATGGCGGTGGAATGTGATGGCACCCAAAGACAGGCTTAGGTCCCTTAGTGAGAGAATACCAAGAGTGAGAACCGAGGTAGGATCCTGTCCCTTAAAACTACTCTTATCCATTCCTATAAGTTATGTGCTAATTCCTTATTCTGATGTTTGAATCCATTTTTGCATAAAACACGTTTGCTTGCAAATTTCTTCAGTTTTTCCTTTGTGACCAGAGTCCGATTGAAAACCCAAATATTGTACTCAAGAAAGAGTAGTACTGTAGTAAAAGTAAAAAGTAGCCATACAAGAAATTACTCAAGAGTAAACAAGTATTAAGCTACTAAAGTACTGAGTAACTGATCAAAACATCATTTAATATATAAAGTTACATCATCAGACGGACCAAAATATAAGGCTGTGTGGAAAATCTGGTATTCTAAAGACCAGAATTGAAATCATTCATATAAAAAACAAAAGCAAGCAAAAGAAACATTTTTCAATATAAGACTTATGAAACTTTAATAAAAACTGGTGAATTTATGGTAAAAACAAACTTGTTCTTCATTCAGTGAAGTTACTCACATTGGGTAGAGAATCCAGAAATTTCAGTCAAGTAAAAGTGGTGATACTTTGTAGTAAAATTACAACTCCTAAAATCAAAATTAGTAAGCATTGGAGAAAGTGACTCTGTGAGATAAAAATATTGCTGAAAGATGTTTTTTATTAGCTGTTTTTACTGTTTTACACTTTGATGCTTTTATAACTATTTCTTCTGATTGTATGTAATGTTTATAAACAGTTTTGCTATTCTTATCAGTACCCTTTACTCCTGAAAGTATTTTTTGTAAATATTTACTACCCAACTCTGTTTGTGACTCACCTAAATGTCTCAGATCATCAATGATAACAAGAGTAAATATGAAATACACCCATCTAATGATGGTTTCATTCAAAGCCGTAGATGAAAGCGTAATTCTCCCATTGTTATATCATGAATTAACCGATTAACCACATTTTGGTTTAGTTTACTTGCTACACCCAGGCTTGGTTGCTGTCAGACCTGCAGAATAAAGAAATGATTTAAGTAGAACCAGTTTGACAACATGAACCAGTGTTTTTAAACCCAGCTCCTCACAATGCCCTGCATGTTTTGGATGTTTCTCTGCTTCACCACCTGATTTCAATTGATGGTTAATCTCAATCTGCTGTGCTAAAGCAGGAAAACATGTCAAAAATTCATGACAGTGTGCCGTGAGAAGGAGGGTTGATAAAGAATGTAAAAAATATATATTTTTAAAAATAGACAATGTTACGATCCAGAGAAATTAAAGAACAGATTAGAAACAAAGTACTTGACAAATAGTATGGAAAAGATTATAATACTTTTTCTAAAACCTTTGGAGAACCATTATCCACAAATAGAGGAAACATTCAAAATAAAAAATAATCTGTGCTTTTTTTGTTTGTTTGTTTGTTTGGAATGTGTGGCTCCCGTTATATGTGACATAAAAATAACACAAAAGTTCAGAAAGAGTATCTGAATCCTGGTGGTAGTAGTATAATGGTTTCTGATTCAGAATCTGGTCAACTTGTTTAATGGAAACAAAAGTTCTGCTCTCTACCGGAGAATGTTTTTCTATTTCCCCCTTCAGGCATTAGCTCTTTTTCAGAAAAGCTAGAAACCACCTCAACCGACAGTATAAATGACTTTTTTGCGAAATTGACGAAGTTCTTTTGAATTTTTGCTGTATCTATCAACTATTTCTATTGATATTTCAAAATGTGCATAAAAACCATTGATGGAAACATGGTCAATGATCCTAACAAACCAGCATGCCAACCTTTTAATGGTATGACCTTAAACCGATCTTTCATGCTCAGAAATGCTCCATTGTGGCTGAATTTACACAATTCTGCATAGAAGTGTGAGCCAAAGCTCCTTCACTCATTGCCAGTTATTACACAGTCTTGCAATGCAAAAACACAAATTTTACCAAGTATTCTAGTTTCTAGTGCAAATATCTCTGTACACTTGAAATGAGACAAAACTAACTTACAAGTAACTTTATAGCGACATATAGGAACATTTTTTAAGACAATAATGAGGAAATACTAATTCCCCTGGCAGATTATTCCACTTATAACACGTTGAGTCACAGTCTTGAGCAATGTTTGGTTACCTAGCAACCCCAGCCGAGCTCGGCCTGTTACCTAGCAACCCAGGTGGAGTGCCAGCATGTTTGAGTTTTCGTCATTATTAAGAAATTTACTTTAAAAAAGCTCCTATATCTTGCTGAAAAGTTACTTGTAAGTTGGTTTTGTCTTATTTCAAGAAACTAGACCAAAAATACTTTGGTAGGATTTTGTATTTTTGCAGTATGGTTGCAGTTGTTACCTTGAGTGGCACAAACTGTTTTTAGATTTAGGGAGCATTTACTTTTTCACATTGGACCTGGCTGGCTAAATAGCCATGTGATCTTTCTCTTATATTTAAGTCTGATGATTTGAAACACTTAAGTGTGACGACAAAAACAGCAGAAATCAGTAAGGAGTCAAATGCAGCTCTGTATTCTAGTTAGTATTTAACAAAGCAAACGGAGCAGCCACTTAAACTGAGTGTCCGTTTTTAAATGGACCGTAATTTCTTGGCTTTTAATGTGAAAATGGTTTTAGAGTCCTGCTGTCCTTAAAGGCCTTGGCTTGTCTTGTGGTGTCGGTGTGGTTTCGCTCTGTATCAGTATGTCCTCTGATGTATCACATGATAAAACAGACAGCCTCTTCATTATGTTTCATATAACAGCAGATAAATCATTCAGTATCCTCAAGTACAAATGGAAACATTACTAAACGCTAATTGACACATGTGTTTAGTGATTTTTAGTTTTCTGAGATTAGATAAAAGTGATAAAACTGCATAAGCTGCTGTTCTGATTCTCTGCATCTTCCATTTTCTCTCTTGACTCGGTTTCATTTCCTGTTTATGAGCTAATTTCACTCAACTCGTAAACATCACTTACAATAACAAAATCTTTCAAAGTTTCTGAGTCATGAAGTGACTGAAGGGGGCTGATTGTGGTCTCATTTAGTTATAAATTAAACTATATTTTTTTTAAGCTGTCTGGACTGGAGAGAATAGTCTTGAACAGTTGAAACCAGATGTTTACATACACCCGACACACACTGAAGTTAAATCGGATCAAACTTCTCTTGTTTTAGGTCAGCTAAAATTACCAAATGCATTTCTATTTGTTAAATGCCACAATCAGGAGAGAATATGCTAGAGATTAATTTAGTAATGCCTTCAAGATCAAAAGTTTACATACATTTGCTGACATAACATTGTCTTTGAAGCTGGTTCTTACTAGGGTTATAAGAGTTTTGGGTTTTTCATTATAGTTTCATTTTATTTTGTTTTGATTTATTTGTTTGTCAAATTCAGTTACCAGTAGTTTTTAGAGTGTTTGCTGGTTTGTATTACTTATTAGCTAAATATTGTTTAGTTCTTATTGGTTATAGCAGTAATTTTAGTTTTTCATACTAAATTTTAGGTGCTGGATTCAAAAATATAAAAAATATAAAAGTATTGTGATTATGCTTACAACGTTTTGGTGACAAATACTCAGCAGATGATATAAAAAATGTATTCAGTTATTGTCGAACGACCAACTCAGTCTGGCGTTTTATCCCAACTTTTGCAGTCACAATTTTCTTTGGTTGGTGTGTTGAATACTTAAAATATCTAATTCCAGTGGTAAGGGTTCTTTACAAAATTAAAGTTTGCTAGTGTTTGAGAGGGCAAACTACAATTAATATATTGCTTGAAAATGGTCTTAAATCAATGTTATTGTTTATTGCAATAATTATTGGTACAAAATTTGCTATTGTTACATATTTGAGCTTGTATTTATGAATTTCATATCAAAATTCATGTCAGAACTGTCTTTATAAATTCCTATAGTTACCTCTGCAGTCTTCTTTTCTTATGGTTTAATCTGTTAATCATTGAATCAGTCATTTAAATCCCCACTCTGACGGTCTGACCCTCATTTTGACCTCCTTTTCATGAAAAATTACTAGAAAAAGATGAGAATAAAAGACTTTCCAGCCTCTCTAAGCACTCCTCTTTCCAACTGCTTTTCCTAAATCAGATTATATTGAAACCCCAGCTAATGGCAACACTGTGGAAACGACTTAAGCCAATCTGATCTAAGATCTGTGGCAGAACCTTCCTTGTAAAGCGGACTGATTGGAAAGAAGAAACTGGAGCAAAAAAAAAGATGGAAGCGCCGTAACTCCGCCCACTTTCCATTCTCTCATCCAATCACACTCCCTCACCCACAGCGGTCTGCTTTCCTATTGCTCCAGAGCGGTATGAGTTCAACCAATCAGCTCGCGACTCCGCTTCTGACGTCACCAACAAGCCAGTTCCCTCCAGCAGCAGCAGCGCTTCATTTTCTGATCTGCTTTTGTGCTAAAATGGAGGCTGGCCTCTCGCCCTGAGTGGATCGCCTTCCTGGTTGGGCTTTAGATGTTGACATGCAATAAATCTGGAGACAGGATGGTTGTGGATGCACCCAATTCCAACGGGCCTTTCCAGCCGGTGGCTCTTATGCACTTCAGAGGTATGTAAGCGATTCTTCCTGTATTGTCCCGGGGAATTGGGGAGCTGAGTGTTACTGTGCTCCTGCTCCACTGGAAACCGCTTGGTTTAGTCAACGTTTCAGCCGCTTCGGACGGGATCAACGTTTGTTTGTTTTTTGGATATAAGCTCCGTTGTATCTGAATGAAACAGAGGAATAGTTTGTTTAGGCATTTATGTAAAGCTGGAAGAGATAAAAAAAAAAAATCAGCTTTACTAGCTAGCAGCTCTCTACCCATCCCCCCGCCGAGCGAGTGATGTCAAAGGAAGTGAGGTCATAGCCAAGGGAAGGGTCTCTTCTCAGTTTTTTAATGTTTATTTTTCTATTGTTGCTATGAGCTTGTTTTGTGATTTTTGTGCAGCTGTTTGTTTAATAAGATGGGGGTAAAAAAATAATAAAATTAGCATCTTTAGCCTCCTCTTTGCAGCCTCAGCGTTCATGTCACACTCCAGTTAATCTGGGCACAAAGTGTATAGGCTGAACACTAAAGAGATTTCAGAACATATTTAGCTTATTTAGCCTTCCACTGTTTTGAGTATCCCAACAGGATACAGTCTGACTCTGCTTTTTAGATTAAATGTGTGCTCAATGTGCTCCGTCTCATCTGAAAGGGCCGGTTTGTTACCACTGTACTTGAGTGCAGCCCAGTGTTGGATGAATCCGTAGGCAATTATTGATTTCAGTCCATTGAACCGTAGAGGCGACTGCCTTGAATGATGACTCTGTTTGGGAACAATCGGACTCTCCCTGCGTCACTCTGTTACTGTGGCTTCCAGTTCCATCAAATGTTTTGTCCAAAAACTAGTGCGCTTTGTTCTATTTGTTTGTTTGGTTTATTTTAGTGGTAACGTGTGTGAATTGAAGATGCACCGATCAGGGTTTTTCCCTGGACAATACTGGATACCAACTTTGGTTTCACTTGCTAATTTTCTTTTCTTTTGTACTCCAGTCATGCTATTACATATTTGGCTTTTATTTCAATGTCACATGAAAGCAAAACGTAATTGTTACCACCTTACAACATGTTTGACACTCTAAAACACATAATTTGGTCCCCCTATTACTGCAGAAGGACACAATAAACTTTAAAATCTGCTGGAATATTTAACACTGGAACTGGAAAACATTTTAAATATACAAAATAAAGAAACAGAAACAACAAATAAATGAATTACGAAGTCTCTGTAGACAAAATTCGCTTTCAAAAAAGGCTAGTTGAGACAAAAACACCAGACAGAAACGTTGATGATTATTAATTGATTTATTGCTTATTGCGACAACCCGTCGTGTATGATGGTCAGGGTGTCTGCGCATTGTTAAAGTCTGAATGTATCTAAAACTAAGACCTTAAAATGTCTTAAATTCATTAGGAAAATGTAAGTTGGGCCCTAAATATGGTAACCGCAGGTCCTAAATTTTGTAGAGAACATAATGCAGTGTTGTACAGCAGGACCCTCCAACCAAACCCTATATTTATAAGCTTTTGGCCTTAAATTTAATTCAAAGTGGCATTAGAAAGGTCTTAAACTTGGGTTTCTGAAACCTAAACGCATTCTGTGGTGAATCGTGGCTCAAATATCGCAACAACCACCCAATAATACTTCATAATCTCGTGGGATAAAATCCAGATTATTCAGTCGCCTTGTGATTTAGGATGAATTAAACTGAAAGCAAAACTTGCCGCTTGTCTTGCGGTGACTATGCAGCAGAACACTGTGATTAGGCCTGTCGCGATAAATCAATTAATCGCACGATAAATTAAACCTATCGACCTCATTTTAATTTATCGTCTCTTCCTGCCTTTTTTCTTTCTGTTGACACTGAATGAAAAAGGCTCAGCTCCGGTGCTCTCCACTGACCCTCTCTTCCTCATTTC